ACTTGCGAAGTAAAAGACAAATTCGGTAAAGTTTCACACATACTTACGAGAAAGTCTACGAGCTTAGTTTGTGGTTACTACGAATAATGTAATATTAATTAAAAAGTTCATTCATTCTTTATTCCGCACTACTTTTAATATCCTACTGGTTTTATTAAACCTTCTACATTTCTTCAAATTGTAAACCCACAACTGTATTTCTCGCCATAATCATTGGGTCGTCTAGTAACAATTTTAGCAGTATCCTAGGCTTTAATTCTACGACACCCACTTTTTAGCACTTTAGGGGGGTGTAGACAAAAGTTCTTTACCTATAGAGTCTTCTTCCCGACAAACGAAGAGCAATCCCTGTCACATTGTAAGGTACAAGTACTTCTTTTACAATTTACGTGTTTGTATTCAAAAGGAAAGAATTTCCCTTTAATGTGGGAAAATACCTTACTTGTAACCCTAATTGTCAATGTCAAAAAGATGCCACAATATCCTTGTGGAAGTACATTCGATTCCGCCTTATACCATAATTTTTGACTGACTCATGATTATATACCTACCTAATGAATGACCCCAAATAACAACCATAGGTCTATGTGTCCGACTAATGGACCTTAATATCCACGAATAAACATGCAGCGTGTCCTCCACCACGCCGCGCTCTGTCGGCTGCACGTAGGTTGAATCTCCGTAACCTGGTCATAGATGGCGCTCTACTTAAAATATGAAATAGAGGGCGCTGTTTTGAAAACGTAAATCAATTTTACGATTGATTGTCTTTGTGAAGGTTTTTTACAAATTTTCAGACGTTTTAATTTTAATAAAGCATTTATTTATTTAAATTTCCTTACCACTGTTATCAATTTAAATAAATAAGATTTCCCGCCATAATGTTGTTTTATTTGCTCTATTCAATATTCAAATTGTTAAATAACTCACCTCTATAATCAAATGTGATGACGTGAAAGTTTAATTCTTGGAAAACTTTGTACAAATTCAACCGATGCGGGGACGCTCTGTGGTTACAATTACCTAAAACGTTATCCATTGATGTTTTTATATGAACTATAGTATTATAGTTTTATAGCAAACAAGCAATGTATGTTGAAGTAAACAATATAAACGTAATTGTTCAGAAATTACTAATAATTTCGTGGAATATTTAATACAATATTAATTACCGTGACAGTAAAGTACTACAGTATTCTTTGTTTGTCTCAGTTCATTTAGAAGTCTCGCGTTCGAATCCAAATGCTTTCTAACCACGAATAACTCCTTGAAGAGAGAGCAGGGTACAATGTGCCATACACCTTTTAAATATTACAAAGTATACTGATATAGTTTCACACAACAATTAACAAATTAATCATATAAAAGAAAACGACGGAAAATTCTTTATAAAATTAGTAATGAAACATTTTTACCCAAACATATTTTACAATTGTTAATTTTCGATTGAAATTCCACTGTAAAATTCCTCGCTCCTATAATATTACAGCTCGATGGGTTGTTATAATCTAAATTTCTTGGATAATTTACTGAAAATAAACAAAGAACTCCAATAATAAAACTTCAAACGCCTGTAAGAAATTTCATAGCAATATCTCTTATTAGTAATGTAAATTTTCTGCAGGCGCCAATACGTTACATACTTTGATAGTATTTTTTATTTACATTTGAGCCTTACAATCATATCCATTGTTAGAGGTCCCGTAATTGAATACTTACTGCAGTTAGTAAAAACCATTTTTCTCTGCACACATTTGCTATATCTAAACACAAGAGGTAAAACAGCCACTTGTATTAATAGGACACTTGCTGTAAGCGATGCACCCGCCATCAGTATACCTCTGGAAAAGGGAGGGCTATTGGAGAGAGGAGATAAAAGGGCTACAAGCCTCCCCTAGTCTCGTGTAAGCATGGGAGTCTCTAAAAGGCAGTTTGCAACTGCTTATAGAGACGAAAATTGTTAAATATATGTAAAAAATAAATCATATGATGCCTTCAATTCCCAGGGACGCTTAGACACATAAGCATTATCTTTAGAATGAAAAAACGATTTTTTACTAGCCTATCTCTGATAATTAGCCCAATGGTCATCTTGTTCTCGATATGCCAGATATCTACCAGTCTTATTATGTAAATTAATTTCTTACCCATCATTTGCACATCAAATACATTATTCTCTTTTTATCAGAAGTTTATAGACATCTAATAAATAATGAACGATTTAAAACAAAAATAAGTAGCCTATGTGTTCTTTCAGCCTCTCCTTTACATGTATGCCAAATTTCATCAAAATCCATTCAGCCGTTTAGGCTACAAACTCTAACAAACATCCATCCATCTAAACTTACGCATTTATAATATTAATAAGATATAATATTTATAACTCACCCTAACACCATCATTTATATGTTTAATTGATTTTTTTTTTAATTTTCTTGATTATCGATTTTTATCATTTTATTTTATATACATTTTATTAAAAAAATATATTTGAATGATGTACATTGTCAAAAAGACAGATTAAATATGACCATAAATAAGTTTAATAGATTTTGTAGAAAAATAAATAGGTTACGATAAAACTATGGTCAGGAGAGAATTTAAAGTTTGTTCTCTTTGTAATCTTAAAAGACTGAAAGAGAAGATACTCTTCTTAATGTTGCAAGAGGTTATAACAAAGAAATGGTTATTATACAATATATTTTAGTTTTATGTTTTTAAAAACGTAGTCCTACCTAATGATATATAATTATTACAAATGTGAAAGTTTAGATGGATGTTTGTTAGTTTGTAGCCTAAACGGCTAAAAGGATCTCGTTGAAATTTGGCATAGACGTAGAGGATACTCTGGAAGAACACATAGGCTAGTCATTTTTTTTAATTCCACGCGGATGGAGTCCCGCGCAAAAGCTAGTTGCTGTATAAATCTTGATGTAATTTGTTTATGTTTAACTCCACGCAGACGGAGTCGCGGTAGGAAACTAGTAACACGTATTTAAATAAAGCACATATATTTAAAAAACATTTTATTAAACTTAAAAAAATACAATAAATAAATATTTGTCAAAAGCGTCGCTTCTCTGTTGATGGTTTTATTGTAAAAAGCCATATTTGAAGCGTATTTCAAACTTCCGCGATCATCGGTGAGTCTCCACGAAGTTTCTGGAAAGAAAACATTAAATTAAAACAATTACTAAGAGTGTCGGTGGCTCAGTGGTTTGAACACTCGACTTGTAATCTACAGGTCTTGGGTTCCAATCCCGCTGTACCAATGTGATTTTAGATTTTTCGAATTTTCATATGTACATAATTTACCCGACGTTCTTACGGTAAAGGAAAACATCGTGATGTCACATATCGGAGAAGAAATTCAAAGATATGTGTGAAGTCAACCAACCCGCACTTGGCCAGCGTGGTTGACTATGGCCTAGTCACCCCTAACTTAGGGTAGGCTCCGAGCCTCTCGCTGGGGACGTTAGTGAGCTGATGATGATGAACAATACTAATCTAATATTATAAATGCGAAAGTTCAGATGGATGTTTGTAGCCTAAACTGTTAAAGGAATTTCTATTAGAAAACAAATAGCTTTTCACCCATCGATATATTATAATAAACCGTAAACACGCAATTCTTTGTTGCCTAAGATGTCAGCAATTACAGAATATCTTTGAATAATTCTCTTTTTAATAAAAAACCCTACACTTACGTCACGCTTTAGGCTATATATTTCACGCCATTAAACTTAGGATGTAAATATTTTGGGATAAAAACCCAAATGTGGGAAAGAGACCATAAGTTGCTGCCAACATCAAGGAAGAAAAGTTGCCATGTTTGTCATGATGTCACGGCATTTCGACATTTGAAATTTCAAATGATATATGTAAACAACAAAGTAAATTTTCATAATTTTATGCGGATGAAGTCGCAAGGGAACAGCTAGTATATATTATAATAAAGCGTAAACACACACTTCATTGTTGCCTAAGATGTCAGCAATTACAGCATATTTTTGAATAATTCTTCATTTAATAAAAATCCTTACACTTACGTCACGCTTTAGACTATATATTTCACGCTATTAAACTTAGGGGGTAAATATTTTGGGTAAAAACCCTAACGTGGGAAAGGGACCATAACTGCCAACATCAAGGAAACAAGATTGCTATTGTCATGTCATTTTGACATTTGCTATTGATAATTTAACAAATGTGAACTATAAAATAAAATTTTCATAGTTTTATGCGGATGAAGTCGGAAGGGAACAGCTAGTGTAGATATGTCAGAACTCACCGCACAACTCGCGGCAGGTCGGGCGCGGTGCATATCCACTTGTGTCCCAAGTTAAGTTTGCTGTCGTAAGCATGTAAAGTGACGGCCGCGTCGCCCGCGCGCCGCGACTCTAATATACTTTTGTATAACTGAAATGTATTTGGAAATATCAATAAAAACAACCAAAAATCTAATCTTACTAATATTATAAAATATAATTATAAAAATATTATAAACGCGAAAGTTTAGATGGATGTTTGTTAGAGTTTGTAGCCTAAACTGCTGAATGGATTTTGATGTAATTTGGTATAGATGTAGAGGATAGTCTGGAAGAACACATAGGCTACTTACTTTTGTTTTTTTTTCCACGCGGACTGAGTCGCGTGCAACAGTTAGTGTTATAAAAAAACATAGACGGAGACAAAAAACTAGGAAGTGTTTTTTTTTTAATAATTTTATTAAAAGCCACAATCGTAGTAATATAAATGCGAAAGTTTAGATGAATGGATGTTTGTTAGAGTTTGTAGCCTAAACTGAACGGATGTCGATGAAATTTATCATAGTAGAGGATAGCCTGGAACAAAGGCTACTCAGTATTGTTTTTTTTTAATTCAGAGTCGAGAGCAAAAGCTTGTTATGGTCATAATATTGTTACTGAGAAATTAAATCATACTAATATTAAATGGGAAAATTTAGATGGATAAATGTTTATAGCCTAAACGGCTGAATGGATCT